TGCAAACTAATCTTTTACTCATTAGAGGATTTTTGAATAGATACTGTCATCGGGACAAAATGTGCTAATTAATGAAATGTTAAATATAGAATACGATGAAAAATAGAAGAAATAAATGTAATAATGAGAAAATCTTTCATGCATTTAAAATACGATGCACTTAAAAAAAATGTAATGTGAATATATGTAATCCATTAAAAAAGTCAATATTCTTGTAAAAGACTATTTTGCCCTTATTTAAAATAAATAAGAAAAGGAAAAGAAAATGATAAGTAATAAAAAGTAATTAGCAAAAGGAATTCTTTCGTTGCACTGCATTGCACCGCACCCCAATCTCGCCCTAGCCTGACACCACCACAATTGTTGGTAACACACCACTGTCGATAGCATTTCTAGGAGATTGAAAGCTCACTCGAAAAACAGCGAATGGAATTCAAGAAAATTAGAATCCTATCTCTTATTTAATCAAATAACATCAAGCATTATACCCTTACCAACATCATCTACAGCCGTAATGGCTTCCACCATTACCATCACCATCACCATCACCACTCATCGATATTCAATTGTGGTACGAGTCTTGTAGTAGAGTGATAACTGAGGTGTAGACTCATGATCATCAACACTCTAGATGAATATCTTGCATCAATAGCCAACATTCAATTTGCAACATTCATAAAATGGATTTTTTTTTTTCTTTGAATCCCCAAATCTTTATATATGTAAATGCATCATATATAGATATGGGGATGGAAAAGGGGTGGGTTGGGGATAAGTGGGCATTCTCCCCCCTTATCCAGTTGGATATTTTTGTCACCGTACCCCACCCTCATACCCAATTAAGGCATGGCGAGACCCCTACGTTGTTTATTATCCCGCTTATTCATTTTTTATGTTTTTTGTTGGTGAAAATTATTAATTTTTATTTTAATTTGCTAAGAACAACCCAGGTTCCCCTTAGAAAAAAGAATAGTTCTTTTCTTTTTGTTTAATAAAACCTTAAATTTTAAATGAATTTTAAATGAGATAGATAGTAGGGTGGGGATCATGTTTCTGGAACTCATGACATCCGTGTCCTGTTCGGTGCAAGATGGTATGGAGCAAGGATATGAACCTAATAATTGTTAATAAATCTAGACTGAAACAACTAAGAAGTTCCGTGAATCGATTGAGACATTTAAACATGGGCAAACCAATCTAGTATTTGCTTAATGTTGGGTGACGTTAGGGGTGGGCAAAAACCGACCGTACCCGACGAACCTGAACCAACCCGACCGGGTTGGGTCGATGTTTTTCCATTTTTTTGGTGGGTTCCGTTTCTGGAAAAGAGGAGCGGGTCGAGTTGGGTCAGGTTGCGGGTTAACCCATAAAACCCTAAAAAAACCACTCAACTCGACCTGCCAAAAAACAAAAAAAAAAAAGGTCCACTACTCACTAGTCCCCTCCCTCTTTAACAACAGCAGGCCCAACTTACACACAACCCAAACCCAAATCCCCTCCCTCTTCTTCAACACACAGCCCAAACTCCATTCCATTCAAAATCAACATCAGTCGCGATTTCACCCGATTCACTCCATGACTCAACCCTAATTCCCTCACTCTTCAAAATCAACAGCAGTCGCGACTCGCCCATCGCCCATTGACACCGTCGACTTCCTCTTCTCTCTTTCCTACCAAAGGTATGGCAAATTAATCCTCTCTTCAATAGCATTGTTTATTTGTTTTGCTTGATTTATTTTTTACATGTTCTACGATTTGATTTTACAGCCTGTTGAGTTGTTTACGAATTATTTATTGTTATTGATTGCTAAATTTTGTTGTTTACGAAAAGGGGCTAAGACGATCAATAACATTCATTTGGTGTTTGGGTGCATATTCTATGTTTCAAATTCTTAGTTTTTCATCGAATATTTGATATTAATTTTATTGTTTGATCTAGAATTAGAGTGTGATGGATTCTTTGTAAATTGAATTGAATTTCTAAGAAGATTTTAAATATTTCCTTGTGTAAATTTTGGCAGGCTTTGAAGACTCTTAATTTTCCATCAACAGAGGACTTCCTCTACCTCAGTCATGGACATAGACACAGCCATAGCCACAGCCACAGGTGCAATATTATTACTTTTCTCGTATTGCATTAATACTTCCAAATTCCAATTAAATATATCTAATTTGGTATTTTCGTAATGTTTGTGGAATATGTTGGTAGATAAGGATGAATGTGAAGTACAGAGCATAGAAGCTCCATCACACAACACAGATTTGCAAGCAGGTCTTCCTCCATGTGCACCGTCAACATTAGGTAAACGGAAATCTACTAGATTATCTTCATATGTTTGGGATCACTTTACACTATTGGGTCAAGGGATGATCCGGATGTTAGGTGTAAATGTAACTATTGTGGAATAGATTATGCTTGTAGCAGTAAGAAGTGTGGTACTAGCACATTGGGCAATCATTTGACAAATAATTGTAAAAAGTATTCAGGTAGATTGGTGGATAAGAAGCAAAGAATCCTATCTTTTGATTCTATAAAAGAGGGTGGTGGGAGCAATCTTATTGCTATTGGTCGAAGTAAAGAAAATTATAGAGTTGCATGTACTAAGATGGCAGTAGTTGATGAATTGCCTTTTAGGTTTGTTGAAGGTCGTGGTTTCAGACTCTTTTGTAGTCACGGTATCAAATCTTTCACTTTGTTGCATACTTGATCCATACCTTTCACTTATGCCATACACGATACCAAACATTTCTGAATTCGGGTACAAATGGTTTAAAATCGTCTATCGTTAGTTGACCATAATATTTAACTTTGACCAATTTAGAAAATGGTAAATTAGTAACTTTACAATTTTAATATAAAATACAATTATAACAATAATAATTAAATCAAAAATAAATAAATAAATAAACCCAAACCCAACCCATGCCACCCCCACCCCCACCCCCACCCCCACAACCCAACCCAAAACCAAACGACATATAGCATTTGTTTGGTCCGGATTAAAATCTAA